AAATGTTATTGAAACATAAAGAGAGCTTGGTGATATTAGCTCATGCCAAAAGACGGAGTTTTGAAATAAAAGACTTGGGAAACCCAAGTATTGTCTCGACCTGAAGATCGAGCTTCTCCTTGAAGAAGTTTTATACACAAGTTAGCCTACTTGAAAAATATCTTGAAGATGTTTTATATGGATAAGTATTATTTACTTATCACACCAATGGTTGTCCAATAATCTCTTGAAGTAGATAAAAGAGCATTTAGACTCGAAGATGATAATGAGGATATTTTAGGACCAGAAGTCTATTACTTCATTCCTATTGGAGCACTATTATTGAACTAGAAGTTCCATAATCGCATCAGGCCTGATATTGAATTTGCGATGAAATTGCTAGCAACATTTAGTGTTTCCCCCTACAATGAAAGTTGGAATGGTATTTAACATATCCTCCAGCACCTTCGAGGTACAAATATTTTGACGTTTATGTAAGAAACCAATATGTGGTTTTGATGGGCTATTTGGGCACTGGCTCTTTTATTTGATCCCTATGATGCTAAGTCCAAAACTGGTTATGTTATATTTTTACCCCCAATGTCCCATATGAGGACAAATAAGATTGTGTTGCACAAGCAAGTAATAGTTTTGTTAAGGGGAACCTTACAAAACATGTTGCACCTAAGTCCTTCTACACACATGAACTCCAGAAGAGTTGTAAAATTCTTGTTGAGAATGTTTGCCCCACTGAACAATCTTGTAGATATGTTCACTAAGTCTTTGCCTAGATCCACTTTTGAATAATATGTTTATAAAATTGGGATGCATAGGCTTAGAAGATTGTTATCTTTAGGGGGAGGACAACCCCTAGCTGTGCTAGAATGGACAATTTAGAGGACTTTTGATATCCTAAAGATTATGCTACGAAAGCATATGGTTGTACTCTTTTTCCCTTATCTAAGTTTTTCCCACAGGGTTTTCTTAAGCTAAGATTTTTAATGAGGCAACCGATGTTGGTGCACTTGAGTGGATAGTCCTGAAGACCCTTGAAATCTTGAAGACTATGCCCAGAAGGCTTATAGTTGTACTCTTTTCCTTGGCTAAGTTTTTTCCCACTGGGTTTTCTTAGGCTAAGGTTTTTAATGAGGCAACCGGTGCAACACATGGATCAACATACTTTGTGTACTCTTTTCCTCGTCTAAGTTTTTCCCAGGGTTTTTCTAGCGAGGTTTTTAACGAGGCTGAGTATAGTTATTTAATGGCCAAGGGGGAGTGTTATAAATATTTTAGTAGTGGCCATTAATCTTGAGACTCTCCATTTTCCTTCTACTTAATATATTGTTTATGTTAAGCATATGAAGGGTTGTATGGATTAGTATAAATACATGTGAAGGCTTAATGAAATAAAGTGCTCATGTTTGTGCTCTACATCTTGTGTCATTCTTCTCTTCTTACATCTCTACACTTTATAATCTTATATATAATCTCCGGACAATTACCGTGTAATCATCACGCGAGAACTAACAAATTGATAGGTCAAATTACAACAATATTATTGTTAAATCGTGAGTCTTGAATGCAAGAAACTTAGATGATTCTTACTCAATTTTAGCCCAATTAATTATCTTTATTAAGACCTATGTCAGACACAGAAATGAACAAAGAATATGAAAACAAATAAAACGCAGAAAAATGAAAGAACCAGGGACACACGATATGTTTACGCAGTTCGGAGAAACGCACTCCTACCTCTATGGTCTAATCATTCACACCAAACGCAATCTTCATCATCTCCCAATCCTCGGAATCAACGTTCCAATAGGTCTTCACTTTTCTAAGCCAATAGAAAGACTCCACGTCTCTACGGAATAAAATCCTTCCAAATCGCAGCTCTCGATATCAGCACTTGTAATAGATAGATAAACACATGTATTAATTCAAGAAATTAATCTGATTAGAATTTACAGAAGGAATGACGTGTATAATTGATGTTTCCTTGTCTATTCACGCGACAGTATATGAGGAAAAATAAAACTCTTGATCTTTTGAAGTTTAATTTGTTGGATGAAGACTCTTAGGAATAAGGAGAGACACTCAATAATTGACAGCTTCCTGAAGAATTTGGTTTTTAACAAACTGCTGTTAGAGAAATACTCTTAATGCACTGTCCCAGACCCCCTTTGTTGCAGCACGAATGACAGACGAAAACAATAAAATACTCCTATCCAAACTAAAGTATATTTAACAAATAATTAGCCAATAAAAAAGTACAAAATGGTGTATCATTTATACACTTGCAATGATGTCGCTTAAGGGATTCAACCACTAAATGCAAAAACAATTATAGACATAATTAACCTGCATGGGCAACTCAATTGGTCACAGGGGTAAAACTTTAGAAGAATGATGACTAGGGGTCGAGTCTCACCAGCGACAGTGTGGGAGCTACCTCTTAATGTGCGGGGGGTTCCTTGTGCGCAATGAGCAAAGGTCTAGCCTCTGTGGTTCATGTTCAGTTGAGTTACCATGATTTACATCCTCCCAAATGCTCTGTCGGGTCGGAGTGTGGGGGGTCCTTAGGGTTGAGGTTTAACCTTTTGGAAGAATTATAGACATAATTAACCAACTATACCAAAATTTGTACTTAATAATTTGTTTTTATAAGTTATCATGGTATACTTCAAATTTCTAAAAATTTATACAATACAAGAAGACAATTTAAAGAAAATATTATGTAGATTACCGATACATTTTGGATAAGAAGTTTTAGTACAAAATACAAAACTTTTTGAATGAGTTAATTCCACCATAGGTCATCCATTGTCTTTGGTGTCAATTCCAAATTTAGTCCCAGATTATTCTTTTTGTCATTTAACATCCCACACTATTGTTTTTTTGAAAACTTTTAGTCATTTATTGGAAGCTTCACATGCAGAATCGAGAAGGAGAAAAGAAGGAAAAGAATAGTTTATTGTTATGTCCTTTTGTTACAAAGATCACCGGTAACCTCAACATATATATAATGAAGATAAAAGTATTGTAACTGCCTAAGATAAGGAAAGAACATAAAAGTCCTTTATTCTATACTGCTAGAATTTAGGAATGAATTGATGCATGATTTTTGGAGTCTAATATTTAGGAATGAATTGTGGCATGATTTTCGGTATCTAATACCCCCCCCCCCCACATAAACTGGAGCATGGAGGTCCTCAATGCCCATTTTAGACTTGAAGATATGAAATGCTGGAGAGGGCAACACCTTGGTCAGACCATCTACAATCTGCGTAGAAGAAGAAACAGACAATAACTTGATGAGACCTTGGCTGAGTCTTTCACGAACAATGTGACAGTCTATATCGATATGCTTTGTATGTTCATGAAATACGTGATTCCACCATAGGTCATCCATTGTCTTTGGTGTCAATTCCAAATTTAGTCTCAGGTTATTCTTTTTGTCATTTAACGTACCACACTATTGTTTTTTTGAAAACTTTTAGTGATTTATTGGAAGCTTCACATGCAGAATCGAGAAGGAGAAAAGAAGGAAAAGAATAGTTTATTGTTATGTTCTTTTGTTACAAAGATCACTGGTAACCTCAACATATATATAATGAAGATAAAAGTATTGTAACTGCCTAAGATAAGGAAAGAACATAAAAGTCCTTTATTCTATACTGCTAGAATTTAGGAATGAATTGATGCATGATTTTTGGAGTCTAATATTTAGGAATGAATTGCGGCATGATTTTTGGAGTCTAATACCCCCTCCCCCCCCCCCCCATAAACTGGAGCATGGAGGTCCTCAATGGCCATTTTAGACTTGAAGATATGAAATGCTGGAGAGGGCAACGCCTTGGTCAGACCATCTGCAATCTACGTAGAAGAAGAAACAGACAATAACTTGATGAGACCTTGGCTGAGTCTTTCACCAACAATGTGACAGTCTATATCGATATGCTTTGTACGTTCATGAAATACGTGATTCCACCATAGGTCATCCATTGTCTTTGGTGTCAATTCCAAATTTAGACTCAGATTATTCTTTTTGTCATTTAACATACCACACTATTGTTTTTTTGAAAACTTTTAGTCATTTATTGGAAGCTTCACATGCAGAATCGAGAAGGAGAAAAGAAGGAAAAGAATAGTTTATTGTTATGTTCTTTTGTTACAAAGATCACCGGTAACCTCAACATATATATAATGAAGATAAAAGTATTGTAACTTCCTAAGATAAGGAAAGAACATAAAAGTCCTTTATTCTATACTGCTAGAATTTAGGAATGAATTGATGCATGATTTTTGGAGTCTAATATTTAGGAATGAATTGCGGCATGATTTTTGGAGTCTAATACCCCCCCCCCCATAAACTGGAGCATGGAGCATGGAGGTCCTCAATGCCCATTTTAGACTTGAAGATATGAAATGTTGGAGAGGGCAACGCCTTGGTCAAACCATCTGTAATCTGCGTAGAAGAAGAAACAGACAATAACTTGATGAGACCTTGGCTGAGTCTTTCACGAACAATGTGACAGTCTATATCGATATGCTTTGTACGTTCATGAAATACGTGATTCTCAGCGATAGCAATAGCTGATTTGCTATCACAGAATACAACGGCAGGCTTGTTTCGTTTGATTTGCAAATCATGGAGTAAGGAGTGGACCCACTACACCTCGCAGATAGTGGCAGCCAAGGCACGATACTCTGCTTCGGATGACGAACGGGAAAGGTCCCCATATATCAACATGAACCAAATCAAAACAAGCTTTCAAACTAGTAGTGCTTAATGGAAAGGGAGAGCGTTTGTGCTTAGCTAAATGGCACACATCACATGCTACACTCTTAATTTTTAAGGTATCAATGTCACAAAGGAGATGGATCTTGTTGGTTAGAAAATGACCCAGCCTTTGGTGCCAGAGCTCCGGGCTAATGCACTGCATCACATAATGCATATTATGTGACTTTGATTCCACCATTATGTATAAGCCTTTTTCTTCTCTAGCTAAACCAGCTATCTATCCATGAATCCCTTGTATTATGCACTGTTTAGACATGAAAACCAGTCTATGGGCAGTATCTTCAATCAACTTACTCACATAAATAATATTAAATTTGAAAGATGGAATATGCAGTGCTTCCTTTAGATACAAACAGTTATTAAGCTTGACATCCCCTATATGCTCAACTATTATACATTGGCCAGTGCACTTTAACCCATTCACCATATGACAAGTGGTAAGAGAATCAAGGGAGCACACTATGTGATTTGTGGCTCCCGAGTCAAGGATCCAAGTTGAAGAATTTAGGGAAAGGGAGTTAATAGAAAACTTGCCTTCATTATCTGTGTGTAGTTCATCAAATTTAGGAGTTAAAGCAATTGCAGCAGCCAAATTCGAACTAGACGATCCCGACGGCTGAGTTGGTTGATTCTGCAGGACTAAGATGAGCTTTTGTAACTGTTCAGATGTTATCCCCAGGTCTGAGTTATTCAAAACTGATGCGGTGACCGGCTGTTTACTCCTGGATTTATAGCCCTGAACCGAACTGGGAGGGAATCCGTGTTTTTTATAGCATCTAACTACTGTGTGTCCGGTCATACCACAATACGCACATTTTTCCTTTGCACCACCATTAAATTTTCTGCCATTATATGAGGATGCTGCAACAGTTTCCTCACTCGCATTGCTGTGAACCGCATTGGATTGATTGAGATCAAGGTTTCCTAGAGTCAAATTTCTCAAAGCAATTTGTCTATCTAGTTTCTCAGCCATAACAAAAACTTTGTAAACTTCTGGCAAAGGATCTAAAAGAATCACGTTTGATTTCAAGCTATCATAATCCTCATTTAGACCTTGCAAAAAAAAGAATTATCTGATCCACTTCTCTCTCACTTCTGATGACTTCAGCGAGATCACTTGAGCACTTTGGAGTGCATTTGCAAAGAGGAATCGGCCTTAGATTATTCATCTGCTCCCATAAGGTTCTACACTTAGTATAGTATTCGTTGATGGAGAGAGATCTCTGTTTAAGGCTATGGATCACACTTTGTAAGATAGAGATACGTTGTGCATCTCTTTGTGAGAAGCGTCTTCGTAGATCCTCCCAGATGTCTCCCGGTTTGTCAAAGTGCATCACACTCTGCACTATGGATGGATGCAGTGACTTGAAGATCCAAGAACAGATCATCAAGTTGCATCTCCTCCAAGCCGCATAGTGCGGATGTTCTCTGCTTGGTGGTGCAGTACTTCCATCAACCAGTGTCCATTTGTTTTTGACTTCTAATGCAATCTGCATAGAGACACTCCAAGTACCATAATTCGAGCTCATCGTTAATGGAGGAGTCACAAGAACCGCTGATGGACTATCATTGGCGTTGAGGAAGAGAGGATCCTCTAGATCCCCATTGTTGTAGTTCCATTGATTCTGAGATGTTGTGTTCCCCTGCGGAACGTCCTGAGAAGCTGTGACACGAGGCTAATCAACCGGCGTAGTGTTGTGACTGGGATCGCCGGTGACAACGGCTGCGTAATTGCGCCATGGCTCTAATACCATATTGGAAGCTTCACATGCAGAATCGAGAAGGAGAAAAGAAGGAAAAGAATAGTTTATTGTTATGTTCTTTTGTTACAAAGATCACCAGTAACCTCAACATATATATAATGAAGATAAGATAAAAGTATTGTAACTTCCTAAGAAAAGGAAAAAACATAAATGTGACGACCCGAAATCCAAATTCAATTAAGGGATTAATTAAGTAATTAATCCTATTTCAATTTGTAATTTAATTCCTTAAATTCCTAAAATTTAATAGTTGGGGACTAGTAATTGACTAGTCAACCCCAAAGTCAAAGTTGTACATTGAGCTTTGTAAGGAGTTCCCTTGTTCCTTACACTTCCTTATGTTAGTAAGGGTATTCTTGACCTTTCACTTATTGTTGGCATTGTAACCTAACCTAGTAGACCACCTTCATTCTCTCCTTACACTTTTCTAAAAATCTAGCTCCACCCTCTCTCTAAAATGTGAGTAGCTTTTCTTCCAAGCTAAGTTGAAACTTTGCCAAAAATTTAAGAGTTGCTTCCAAGATTCAACCTTTCATATATTTGGGCATCTAGGAGGGTAAGATCTATGTTCATCTTGTGTTTTTGGTTTTATCTAAGGTGTCTATGATCTTTATGATCTTTTGGTATGTTCTTGAAGTGGGTTTGGAAGGTGAGCCTAGTGAGGAGCTTGTTGAGGTGTAAAGTGAAGTCTTTAGTTTACAAGAGGTAACCCATGCTCTACAAAATCTATTTTTGCTTACCTATTTGATGATTCTTGGATTCTACATGTGTTTTGCTATGAAATGTGAGTGTTTATGCATTGTCTTGTGAAAATGCATATCTAGAGCTTGTGTTTAGGGTTCTTATGTGCCATTGCTTGGCATTTCCTTTGATTCAAGTCATTTTGTTGTATTTGGTGAGATTTGGCATGTTTTGGACTTGAAATTGAGCTTGGAGTTGAAAATCCCTTAAGGGATTGTTTTGGTACAGGACGTGTACCCGCGGGCGGAACGGCAGGCGGGGCACCACCCGTCGCCCCACCCGCAGGTACAAGGCCTCGTGGGAGATGTTCCCGCGGGCGGAACCACGGGCGGGGCACCACCCGTGGGTCTACCCGCGGGGAACACTGTAGTGTTTGATTGGGATTTGTTCCCCGTGATTCTTTTAACTCGGTATTTGGTCTTTTGACTTCCCGATGTTCTTTTGTGGAACTATTTGAGTGTCTTCTTGATGTTTCGTATGTCTAGAACCATATGGTAGGAATCCATGTAGATTTTGGTGTCTTGAATCGTGCTAAATGTTCAACATTGTGTTTCGTTGAACCGTGATGAGTCTTGTGTGTTCTTCGGAACTACTTTCGGTTTACCCGTTTGATAAGCATGCTAGTTCGGCGTTTAAATGCTAGCATGTGTGTTGTTTGTACCTTCCTAATGGTTGATGATAACTTGTGTTATTCATCGTTGTTGTTGTTGGACTGTGATCCATTCCTTGATTGGGTATGGTTTCATATCTTCGTTGTGATCCGTTGATTTATTCCTGTTGTGGTGTGATGTGTGCGTGGCTTTACCTGGGTTGCACGATTAGTGGTATGGGACACTAGTCACCAAGGTATTGCAGCGGTCCTCGTGGTGGCTGTGACGTGATTATGGAGTTTGTGACCTTTGTGTTAGGTTCACGTGATTCTTGGGTGGCATGTGTTTCCGTGTGTGTGAACGGTACCCTCGTGTACTATGAAATCGGTGGTTCTGTTAGAGATCTGTTGGAGAGGGGACGACAGTCCTTGGAGGGAAAAGGTTGGACTTGGTGTATAGGGGTCCTGGAGGTAAAGGTTGGAACTAGACATAAGGTTGGGGGTAGCCATAAGGTTGGAACCGGGCATAAGGAAGGCATATCAACTCGTGATGAGTGATGTCACGAGGGCTTGTGTAGCCGTTGTTGTGAGTTCTCTTCTTGTGACGTGTGTAGTCACAAGGGAATGTGTTGCCTAGGCATGTGTTGCCATCAGCCTTGTCTTTATCCTTGTGTTGTGGTATAGTGTAGCTTCTCCCTCCTGTTTTGTGGCCTGTGTGCCAGTTTAGTTGTAGCCCTTTGAGACTATGGATTAGATGTAAACATTGCAGATGTTGCCGTAGCATTCATCCTTTTGGTGAACATGGCGTAACACCCCGTGTTTTGTATTTATGTTATCTAGTTATCTTTCAGTCTTCCGCTGTGTTTGTTATTTAGCTCAGTTATCTGCATGTTTAAGTCTTTTAAATAGCTTGTTTTTAGGGGGTGTTACAGTTGGTATCAGAGCCTAGGTTTGAGCGTAGGAAGGAGTTAAGTCTAGACCTACTAAGTGGCTAAGTGTGATTTGAGACCTTTAAGCGACCTTAAGAATCAATTGTTAGGCTTAGGACTCTAGGTTGCACGGTGAGCTGAGTGTCGCTTTCTGTTCTTTGCCTGTTTGCTATCTTTTGGTAACCGTGTTGTTGTTGTAGAAGTTTGCGATGCCTCCTCGTTCCCGAGCTCGCACCCCGGATACCCCAACAAACGAGCAGCTCGCTCAGAATCTCCACCAGTTGACGCAGACGATGCAGACGCTCAGTGAAGCCTTGTTGAACAACAACCACGCTGTGCCGCCTCCTCAACCTGCTGGGCACCGCAATATAGGTCGCTTGGTGTCGGGACATAGGTCGCCAACCTTCGCGGGTGAAGAAGACCCGGTGGTCTTGGAAGAATGGACGAGGGTGTTCGACAAGATCTTCGCAGTTGTGGGTTGCCCCGAAGAGAGAAGAGTAGAACTGGCAACATTCTACTTCTGCCAAGAAGCTGATCTGTAGTGGGTCCATGAGGGTCCGACCTTCCTTGAAGAACCTGAGTTTGGTTGGGCCGCGCTTAAGGATAGGACGCGCAAGAGGTTTTACCCAGCACATGTGCGAGCCGCCTTGTTTGATGAGTTCCTTCACCTGCAGCAAGGATCCCTGTCTGTGGTCGAGTACCACAAGAAGTTTTTGGAGTTGGCGCGCTTTGCTCGGGTGCTTGTGCCTACGGAGCTTGCTAAGGTCGAGAGATTCGTTGCCGGTCTGAATTATGAGGCACGAAAAGCGTTGACGGTGAGTAGGCCAAGTTCCCTTAAGGATGCGTATCTGAGTGCCGCGGATCTGTATCGCGTTCAGCAGCTTCAGAAAGGATCTTATGAGCTAGCTAGGAAGAGGGTTGAGAGCGGAGGTTCTTCTACCTTCAAGAAGCCACGACCGGGTTTTTAAGCCAAGAACGTGCCATCCTCGTCTCAAGGACCTAACCGGATGGAGCAAGGGAATCAAGTCAAGACACCTCTTTGTCTTAGGTGTGGGAAGTTGCATGCTGGTCAGAACTGCAACGGCTTCGCGTTGCGATGTTTTCGTTGTGGTGATAGAGGTCACAAGGTCGCGGAGTGTCCCCAGCAAGCCGGTCAAGGAGCGTTGCCACCACCCCCGGGAGCCGGACGAGCATGGGAGGTAGTTCGGGTGGTGGAGCAGTTGGAGCTAGGCCACCGGGGAGGGTCTTCGTGATGGGGCGTTCGCAAGCAAAGTCTGAGGGTTTGGTGGAGGAGGAGTTGGCAAGTAATCCTATCCTAGCCTATCCTTGTTTTTCGCGAATATCGTGTTCTTTGTTGTTTTGAAGTGTTACCTTGTGTTTCGTTGTTGTCTATATGAGTTACTTGGCAATCCTTGGTATGTTTTCCTTTGGAGTTAGGTGTGAACTCTTCTTGTTAAGTGACTTCTTTAATTTGGTATATAAGTTTCGTTGTGAAGTTAGCTATCCATCTTTGGAATGAATTGTGCTTGGGTTAATCCTACAATCCTTATATTTTGTCATTCTTGCAACTATCCTTTTGAGAAATCCTCTAAATCTTTCCCAAGTATTCTTTGAAAGTTGAAATTAGCAGATCCATACCAAAAATCCTTCCTTAAGTAACTTAAAAGTAATCAAGCCAAAATGTTTAATTATAACCCTTGAGTTTCAAACCCAAGCCTATTCTTTGCCAACCCAACCTCTAAACCACTTGAGCTAATTGTCTTTCTTGAACCCTATTCAATTTTAATCCCATTTAAACTATAAAATCCTCACTTTACCCAAATCCCCAAATTAAATCATCTTTTCCCCAATTTCTTTCTCCAAAATCCCTAAATCCCAATTTCTTTCCCTTTCTCCCTCCCCTCTCCCTACCCGTGTGTGCAGCCGAGACCACCCCTTCCCCAACCCGCCACCCCACCGCTGGCGTAACAGCCAGCCACTACCGCCTCGCCGTCCGTCGTCGATGTTCGCCGCCCACCGGAGCTGCTTCGCCGAGAGAGAGAGAGAGAGAGAGAGTCGCGAGGAGGAGAGCAGCGAGAAGAGAGAGAGAAGAAGAAGAAAAAGAGGAGAAGTCTTGGGTCCTTTTTGTTGAGCTTTGGGTCATCATCAATCATGCCTAGAAGGTCATGTTTGGCAAGAAAAGCGGAATGGGTGGATACCCATTACCTCGTTCTAGAATGTAAAGCTTTTGATCCAGAATCTTTTCCTGATTCTTTGTTGGATATGATTAGATTCCAAGGTTTGTTGGATGGGTTTCTCGCCATAAGGGCCGAGACTTACCCGAGTTTAGAAAAGGAATTTTATCGTCACATGGTTGTGACAAAGGAGGGTGATAAGCTTGAGATCACTTCTAAAGTGAGAGGTGTGAAGGTTGTGCTTTCTGAAAAGAGGCTGGCTCAGCTTTTGAGTTTAACTACTTCAGGAGTTGCTCAGTATAGTGGTCATTCATGGATTAGTACGGATACCAT